GGTTCATTTCACTTACAATGATGTTTTCAAGGTTCATCCATGTACTTCATTCCTTTTTTTTCCCCTTACTTACTAAGTAGCCCAAGCAAGCCTAGAACTCTTAAATCTCAGCCTCCAGAATGTTAAGATTACAAGTATGCCCTACCATGTCAGGTTCTTCATTCCTTTTGGTGAGCAGGAAAATATGCATTCTGGGGTTTAAACTCAAGGTCTCATGTTAGCTTGGCTTGCTTGCTCAGCTGCTTGCACTCTACTACTTGATCCATGCTTCCACCTCTGCATTAACTGATTAGTAGAAGATGGAACCTCACAAATTTTCTTCTTGGGCTGACTTCTAATTTTGAACCTCTGATCTCAACCACCTGTGTAACTAGGATTACAGACATGAACCACTGGCACCCAGCTATACCTTTTGTTGTTGGTGGTCATGGAGCTTGAACTCAGGGCCTGGGCATTGTCCCTGAGCCTTTTTGCTCAAGGCTAGCACTCGTCCATTTTGGGTTTTTTTTTTTTTTGGTCCTGTCGTGGGGCCTGAATTCTGGGCCTGGGCACTGTCCCTCAGCTCTTCAGCTCAAGGCTAGTACTCTATCACTTGAACCACAGTGCCGCTTCTGGCTTTTTTTTTCTGCTTATGTGGTGCTGAGGAATCGAACCCAGAGCCTCAGGCATGCAAGGCAAGCACTCTACCACTGAGCCACCTTCCCAGCCAGCACTCACCCATTTTGAACCACAGCTCCACATCTGGTTTTCTTGTGGTTAATTGGAGATAAGAGTGTCACGGACTTCCTTGTCCTGGCTGACTTCCAACCTTGATTCCCAGATCTCAGCCTTCTGAATAGCTAGGATTACAGGCGTGAGCCACCAGCACCCAGCTTCATTCCTTTTTTTTTTTTTTGGGGGTCCGGTCGTGGGGCCTGAACTCTGGGCCTGAGCGCTGTCCCTCAGCTTTCAGCTCAAGGCTAACGCTCTACCACTTGAGCCACAGCGCCACTTCCGGCTTTTTCTTTTTGCTTATGTGGTGCTGAGGAATCGAAACCAGGGCCTTGAGCATGCAAGACAAGCGCTCTACCACTGAGCCACCTTCCCAGCCCAGCTTCATTCCTTTTTAATAGTTTAATAATATTTCATTGTGTATTAAACATCCATTTTCTTATCTGTTCACCAATTAAACATTTGGTTGTTTCCACTTGTTTGCTATTATTATTATTACTGCTACTATGAACACTTATGTACATGTGTTTGTGAATATATATGTTTTCATGTCTCATGGATAGATACCTAAATATGGAATTATTAGGTCATATAGTGACTTTACTTTTAACCTTTTGAGGAACTGCCAGGCTGTTTTACAAAGTACTTTGTATTACCCTCCTATTTGTGATGAATGAAGGTTCTAATTCTTCCACATGCTTGCTAACACATCTCAGTGACTTTCATCTTGATTTTAGCTATCATAATGAATGTGAAATAGTATCTCATTGTGTTTAAGACATGAATGTTCATTTTCAATTAATTCCACTTCCATTTTCTATTTAGTGAACAACTTAAGACCACTGAATAAGGTTAGAGATGTGGCTTAAGTGGTAGAGTACCTGCCTAGAAATTACAAGTCTTGACTTTACATTCTCTCTCTCTCTCTCTCTCTCTCTCACACACACACACACACACACACACACACACATATACAAACACATGAGTGTAGGGGGAAGGGGCAGATAGAATGGGGAGGAAGGATGTAAAGGGTGACTCTGATTAAGAAGCACTGGACAGTTAAATGAAAATGTTAAATTGTAACCCCTTTGTACACCTTTTGAAGTTTACAGAAAAAGAAAACAAAGTGAGCTAGGCATTAGTGGCTCACTTAATACTAGTTACTCAGGAGTCTGAGATCTGAGATCCGAGCATCCCTGTTCAAGTAAGCCCTGGCAAAAAGTCCATGAGACTCTTATCTACAAATAACCAGCAAAAAGCCAGAAGTGGAGATGTGAGTCAAGTTGTAGAGTGCTAGTCTTGAGTGATGGTCTTAAGCAAAAAAGCCAAGCGAGAGCTCAAGGTCCTGAGTCATGCCCTGGTCATGCCCCAGTACCAGCACCATTTTTTAAAAAAGTGATAAAATAATAATAATATAATAAAAAGTGATAATAATAAGATGGATCATGCCTATAATCTAGCTACTCAGGAGACTGAGATCTGAGGATCACTGTTCCAAGCCAGTGCAGGCAGGAAAGTTAAGATTCTTATCTCCAATTAACCAACAAAAAGCTGGAAGTGAAGCTGTGACTCAAGTGGTAAAGTGCTAGCCTCGAGCAAAAAAGCTCAGGGACAGTGCCCAGGCCCTGAGTTTAAAGCCCCAGGATTGACACTGAAAAAAATCTGTTAGTCATTTTTTTTCCCTATCCAGACAGTGGCCTGAGCAGTAGGAACTGCAGTCTAATATTCAATGACTAGGTGAATGCGCTGGACTGTAGTAAAGAACATCTAATAGGCACAGAGGGCACCAATAAGCCTCCGTCCAGTCTGCACAGTCTGCATTTCTGGCTGAATGGCAGGAAACTCAAGAGCTGAAGTAGTCTATTGACCTTGAACTTCCTCCTTGGTAAGTCATTGCCTTTTCAATAGCTGCTTGCCTTTCCCTTTCAATCTCTGTAGAAGTGATGATCAGGCAGGCATGCTCTCCCATGGATGTTCTCAGAAAATGATCCTCACTGGGCACAGAGCTTCCTGGGCCAGAATCTACTACATCAGACCAACCAGATGAGCTCCCTTGTATTGCACAGGATGAAGATGCTCACATAATACAGAAGAGGATCTGTGTTAATTTTGTGTGTGTGCACATGCACAGGCACGTGTGTATGCATGTGTGAGTGCTTGCATGTGTGCTGGTACCAGGGCTTGAATTCAGGGCCTCGACACTCTCCCTTAGCTTTTTCACTTAAGGCTGGTGCTCTACACTTGAGCCACAGCTCTACTTCCAGCTTTTTTGGTGGTTAATTGGACTCAAGAATCTCATGGATTTTCCTGCCTATGCTGGCTTCAAAACTAGATCCTCAGATTCTTTTTTAATTCTTTCACCCATTTAACAAAGATTACATTGGTTTGGCACTGGTAGCTCACGCTGTAATCCTAACTACTTAGATTGAGATCGGAGGACTGCAATTCAAAGCCAACCTGGGCAGGAAAGTCCATGAGACTCATCTCCAAGTAACCACCAAAAAGCTGGAAGTGAAGCTGTGGCTCCAGTGGTAGAACTCTAGCCTTGGGCAAAAAAAAACCTCAGGGATAGCATTCAGGCCCTAAGACATAGTCCCAGGAACAGCACACACACACACACACACACACACACACACACACACAGATTGTCTTTGCTGTTGATATATAGTCAAATCCCTTAACAAACAGATATGTTCTTCCATTCCATGGGTAGTCTTTTCTATGCAAGTTGTTTTGGCAGCACCTCTCCTGTCAGCTAAGACTTCTTGATAGGGAAGTGGAAGTTCACAGAGGAAAGGATGATATTTAAACTCAGTTTTGTCTGACTATAAAACTCATGCTTCTATGTAACTTGAGGGTAGGGACAGGAGGGGAGAAATGGGGGAGAACGAAGGAAAGGGTGATATTAATGAAGAAGCACTGTGCTCATAACCTGACTTGTGGAATTATAATCCCTTTATACAAGTACTTAATACCAATAAAAAAAAAGAGAACTCATGTTTTTCCCTCTATTCCAACCTGCTCACAAATATAAATGGAGACATGTTTCTGGCTTTAAGGAGCTTGGTCTGGAAGAAAATTTAAAAGAAGAACATAAATAAATGTGTCATAAAGCTGAGTTCCACTTGTCAAGTTCCACTTGTCCTACAAATACCAGAGGAAGTATAGTGGGAGTGGGAGGTCAAGAGGAAAATGAAAGAGGGAGGGAAAGGAGGAAGGGAGAAAGAGAGAGACAGAGAGAATATGAACTCATTGGAGAGGCAGGGTGGTCTCGGTAAGCTGGCATTTGAGTTGTCTTTGAGGATGGGTACAGTTTCATTGGATGGTGATGATGGCATGAATGGAGAGAACATTTTCTCACGGGAGGGAAAAAAATGAGGACTGGTTGAAAAGAGTTTAACTCCATGTCTGGCTGTGATGGATAATCTCAAGGCTGACTGGAAGGGGAAATCCTAGGTCAGCGTTGGTGGGAGGACCCCAGGAGTAGTTGAGATAGGGGATCTGGACATTGATTTGAACGGAGAGTTTAGGGACTAGCTGGAGTAGGAGATGGTGTGGAGTTGGAGTTGCATGTGTGGAGTTGGAGTTGCAGGAGCTGTCTGGGTTGGGGAGAACTTCAGACTGGCTGAGGTGGAGAGTCACATGGCTATTTGGGATGGTTCAGGGACTGGCTAGGTTGGGAGACCTAGAGATTCCTGACTGATGAGGGCTGGAGGGAAGTGGCCTGAGGTAGGAGCTTCAGGGGTTGGCTGAAATGAGGAATCCAATATATTGGTTAGAGTTGGCAGACCTAGAAGATGGGGAGTCTGTGGGTTGCCTGAACTTGGAGAGTGGGATGGGTGTTCTTCGAATGGCTTGGTTAAGCATCCTGGGCCTGGTGGATCAGACCTGAGGGATGGAGGAACCGAGTGGGATGGAAGGTGTGTTTAGGCAGTTAGGCGAAGCCCCTGCTGGGACAGGATGAAGTAGAAAGGATCTGTAGGCTGAGATGAGGCTGTTGGCCCCAGCTGACCTGGGCCAACTAGTGGCTTGAGGCTAGTCCAGCTGCGTGCGGTTGGCGGCCGCAGGTGGGGCTTGCGGGGGCGGGCCAGGCGAGCAAGGTGGGGGCAGGGGTGGGGGGCGGGCCGGCGGCCGGGGCGGTCCCGCGCGGCCGCGCTGCGCAGTGACTCCGCAGCGGGCGGAGCGCCGTGGGCCGCGTCCTCCCGAGCCCGTGGCGGTGGCGGCGGCGGCGGCGGCGGCGGCGGCGGCGGCGGCGGCGGCGGCGGCGGCGGCGGCGGCGGCAGCGGTAGCTTCCAGCTCCTGCTCCCTGTGCCGCCGTTCCCAGCGCTGTCTCCGGCCCGAGGCCCCCTCCCCGTCCCGCCGGCCCCCTCCCCCGGCTGGGCCCGGGGGAGGGTGGCGCCGTGAGCGAGCGGGGACTGGGCTCTCTTGCCCCTTCCCTTGTCCCTGGGCTGCCAGGATGGAGGCGGGGTCGGGCCCCCCGGGCGGCCCGGGATCGGAGAGCCCCAACAGGGCGGTGGAGTATCTCTTGGAGCTGAACAACATCATCGAGAGCCAGCAGCAGCTGCTGGAGACCCAGCGGCGGCGCATCGAAGAGCTGGAGGGCCAGTTGGACCAGCTCACCCAGGAGAACCGGGACCTGCGGGAGGAGAGCCAGCTGCACCGTGGGGAGCTGCACCGGGACCCCCACGGCGCGCGGGATAGCCCCGGTCGCGAAAGCCAGTACCAGAATCTACGTGAGACCCAGTTCCATCATCGTGAGCTGCGGGAGAGCCAATTCCACCAGGCGGCCCGGGACGTGGCTTATCCGAACCGGGATGGCACCTACCAGAACCGGGAAGCTGTGTATCGGGACAAGGAGCGGGACGCTTCCTATCCTCTCCAGGACACCACCGGTTACACAGCCCGCGAACGCGATGTGGCCCAATGCCACCTGCACCACGACAACCCAGCCCTGGGTCGTGAGCGTGGCGGGCGGGAGACCGGGCCAGCGCACCCAGGGCGCGAGAAGGAAGCCGGCTATTCCGCGGCGGTGGGCGTGGGGCCGAGGCCACCGCGGGAACGTGGCCAGTTGAGCCGTGGCGCATCCAGGAGCTCCAGCCCCGGGGCTGGTGGAGGCCACAGCACCAGTACCAGCACCAGCCCGGCTACCACCCTCCAGAGAAAGTAAGGACTATGCTTATATCCTCCCCGCTCTCCCCCTCCCCCCTCTGCAACTTGTCCAGATGATAAAGTAAGAAGCCAGTGCTTGATTTCCATATCCTGTTCTTCTGTCCCAACCTGGAAAAAGCCACGTCTGCCTCATCCTGCCGACACCCTTGCCCTAGGCACTCACTGCACACTGGGCTGTCCGGATGAGTGCTGGCGTCTCTTTTTCCCAGGACTGAGGCCAGGGAGGGACTCGAGCAATCATCACCCGTCCAGCTCCACTTCTTCAAATCCCTGGCTGTATATCCTTGGCTAGAGGAAGGCTTTTCATTTATTTGTTTATTTAGGCTGTGCAGTTTGGGCTTCCCCCCCCTTTGTTGTTAGTGATGGTATCAACTCAAGAGCCTCAAGGGAGAGAAACCCCCTTCCCATTTTTTTTTCTTTCTATTTGCCTGATTGCCTCTCTCCTGGCTGCCTCTGTTCCCTCCTCTCCCAGGAAGGCAGGTGGGGACCAGAATGGCTGCTGGAGGCTGAGACATCCCTCTGAGGGGAACTGCAGTACATCCTGGCCAGAGGGGGAGCAAAGATGGGGGAGCAAAGATGGAGGCCAGGCCCTTGGCTAGTTCCTCAAAGTCCATCCCCTCTCCACCCTTCATGAAAAACAACACCCATTTAAAGAGCCCTACTAAGGAAGAAAAGTCTATAGCTCTCCCTCCCAATGGATCGGCTCCAGTTCCTGTGTTGGAGTCTTGTGTGTCTCTCAATTTGGGACACCTTGGCAATATTTCCTGGGTTGGTGGGACATGGGCAGGGTCCACTTCTTCCACATAGATCTCATCATGAGCTGGGTGGGATAAATGTATCAGATGGAGAGAGTCAAGGGCGTGTAGGTTCACAGGGATGCTCCCTTACTGCTTTTCTGCTGTATGGGAAAGACCATTGAACTGGGAGTTCGAGGAACTGGGTTCCCCTTCTAGCTCTGCTGCAGATTGGCTTTGTGACCTTGACTGAGTCCCGTCCTCTCTCACTCACCAGTTCCCCTATATCTTTTGAGAGACAAGCCTGCCTTGGATGCTCTTTAAGGACCCCTCCAGCTTGCATTCCATGGTTCTTTGACTAATCCAGCCACACTACAGAGCAAGTCTGAAGTCCTCTAGCGAATGGACAGACTTCCCCCTCCTCTCACTGCTCAGCTGGTCCTACCATGTGCCACAACCAGTGGAGTGTCTCTTGGAGGCTGGGCTGGGGGTGGGGAAGCCTTCTGCCTCAGGAAATCTGCTGGGAGACAGCTCTCTGCAACTCCCCCATGGTGAGGCAGCAGGCTGGGGTGCTGGGTTGAGATGGCTGGGCCCCAGGAGCAGCAGCTGCAGCTTTAGGGCTCAGCTAGGCTCCACTGCAGCACACTCTCATTTGAGTCTTGGGGTTAGAGTGCCCCAGACTAGTCTGGAAGATCTCACCTGCCTGGGCAGGGATGCTTAGAGCCTATTCCCAGAGGACTGGCCATGCACACCTTGGGGAACTGAACTGGAAGAAGAATGCAAGTGAGATCAAGGCCCATTCAAGAGAGGGCCGTGGTAGGGGTGGGTGCAGAGAAAGACTGGATATAGTGCTGTGATCCTCAAGGCTTACTGCAGAACACTTTTCTAGAGGGGTCAGACTTGAAATAAAAGAGCAGCTTCATCAGGTATGGCTCCAGGAAGCAGAAACAAGAACAGTGAGAACGTTTGCGGTAAAATCAGGAAGAACTTTCTAACCTGGTTGGTGGTGATGCAGTAGATTGATTGCCTCAAGGGATGGGGGGGGGATGAGTGTTAGTGGCTGGCTGGATATGTCCACCAGCAGAGGCCAAGTGAGGTCTGAGAGAACTAGAGAAGGCCTAATTCTGGAATCAGATGGAAGACCTAGGGAGATAACCTGAGTCTTCCCTGATTTTCAGATGCCATTGCCCTCAGATTCTCCATCTGATCCTGCAGACCCAGGCCTGAAATCTCTTGGCTGGCTGGAAGCCCATTTGCTTTGCTTCCATTCTTGCAGGCCTGTCTCTTGGCCCTTCCTTCTTTTTGTGTATCTTCCAGGTTGCTGGTTGGATTTCCGTGCTTCACATTTCCCACTGGATTAATAAAGGGGTTTAGGTAGTACTTTGAATTTCTCAACCGTCTATTAACTGTTTGCATATCCCTGATTACCTCCTTTGGTCTCACAACAAGCCCTAGACAGTGAGCGTTAGCAACTCCATTTTAGGTATGGGAACACTGAGGCTCTAAGACTAATGGTCCTGGTTCAAGAGTATGCTACTAGTTGCTAGTGGAGCTGGGACTAGAACAGGCAGCCTGCTGTTTTTCGGGGCATTTTATTTATTTGTTCACTAGAGCTTTCCAGCTCCTAGGAGTCCCTCAGCCTCAGGATAGGTACTGAACTAGGGAAGGCCCAGAAAGCCTTAGATATCTAGAGGGTTTGAACAAGAAGAGATGAGTTCAGATGTTTTGGGAGAGTCGGGGAGAAAAGAAAGCTGTTTTTCCTCTTTTCCACTCTCCTCCTTGGCCAGGATGTTGAGGACCTGGCAGTGCAGTCGCCATTGCTGCCAACCACTGCAATTGCTAGCGAACCCCCCCCCCCGCTAGGCCTGTTCTGGGTTTGTAAGGAGTGGGTGAGAAGGCTGCGCTAGAAGCGCGGGCAGGCAGGGTGGGAGTTCAGCAGCAGAGGCTGCAGCATTGGGGGAGGACAAGCAGAGCTGATACAGACTGGGCGCTCCTGGTCCCCCGGCTCCCTCTGGTGGACAAAGAGGGGAGCGTGGGGCCTGGACTGAGCTGCAGCTGGTTGGGAGACCATTCTACCAGGGGACTTTCTTTTAGCCATTGCAAGCACCCTTATTAGTATGTCTGTCACCACCACCTACATGTTACAATGGAAGAAACTGAGAGCTCTGAGAAGCAAAGCCCACCAGAGGTCATGCTGAATATGATAGATTCCCAATCTTGGAAACTTTCCCTTGCCTGCATTGGACATCAGCTGTTCTGTCTGTCCCCCAGCCACCCAGGACTCCCCCACCCTACTGCACTGTCTTTTCTGAATGGGTTCCAGGATGTCAGGTTCTCTTCTGCTGTGCTCTGGGTGTGGCTTTCCAGTGCTGCATAGGGTAAGCGACATGAGTCTCTACCTCTTTTGGTCACTGGTCCTCTGTATGTAAGGTTCTTGCTTGTGTATTGTTTACTAATTATTGGTCCAGACTAGTGCTTCGATTCTTTTACTGGAATTGTCCATTCCACCCCCCGCCATGATTAGGGGAGAGTTCTGCTTTTGTTGTTGATCTTGGCCTGCCCCTCTGTTTTGCCCCCCCTGCAGTTCTGAGCTTGGTATGATTTATAGGCATACCAAGGGCCATTGCTGAATGTCCCACACTGGAGAAAGCTACATTCCCATATTGGTTTGCATAGGCCCACCTTTGCCTTTGCTGTGGGCAGTGGTGGGCTATAGCTAATATGAAGGTAATTCTCTATTCTCTGCCCCTTACCCACCCCCACAAATGGGCACACATTTGGAGACAGAAATTGAAGGGCCAGGCTGGTGTGCTTGACAGCCAGGACAATGCGTGGTGTCTGCTGGGCAGTCCTCCGCAGGTGGTGTGTCAGCTTGTGTCACAGGGGTTGAAGCCACCAAGAGGAAGTGAGTGAGCCTGGGGAGAGGTTGTGGGGAAGTCTGTCTCTTTTCAGGGATCTTGAGTCCTTTGCCTGGGGGGGGTCTCCCCTTCTTCTATTAACACCCCTCCAACTGTGTTGTGAGCATTATGCTCATGTGGGAGGAAATGATAATGTTAGGTTTAATGAGAATTAGAGGAGTCTTGCTTCTCTGTCTAGATCTGGGGAAAGAATGGGGTTGTCATCTACAAACATTTTTTTTGGCTGTGTGCACAAAGCAGGAGGGGCCACCAGGCTGGGCAAACACCATGCTTTTGGCACTTCTAGACCCGCCCCCCACATCCCCTGCCACCAGACAGGGAGACAGGGTTGTGGGCCCAATCATCCCATAGAGATGATGCTGAGGGTAGAGTGGATAGAGGGATCAGGCCGGGCCACTAATAGAGGATCTGGGCAGTGGTAGAGTGGGCTTTGAAGGAGGGTGAGTGTGTTTTCCAGCGTCCAGTGGAGGGGGTAGTGGGAGGAAGACACCTGATCCAAGCTTGCCACCTGCTAGCCTTTCTTTCTTTGTCTTCCTCTTGCCTACTCTGGTGTCTGAATTGCTAAAAGCAGAAAAGAGGCCTGAAGCATGATGGAGAGGCCACCAGTGCATTGACAGAGAGTCTTAGCCTTCTGTGTGTCAGGCACCACTCTGTGTGGTTTTATATAATAATAGCGAACATTTTTCAAGCGCATTTTATTGTGTGTGCCAGGCACTGTTTGTTCTAAGCTTCGCATGTAGTAATTCATTCTGTCTTCACAGGAATCCGTTCATGTAGGGATTGTTCGTAACACCATTTTACAAATGAGGAAACTGAGGCTCAGAGAGAAGGGTTGGATCACATAGTCAAGGTCACCCAATAAAGAAGTGGCAGAATCTGAAGGAGCTAGAAGGAAGTAAGGGGGGGAGGAGGGGTCTCCAGGTTCTGCTGATGTGCTCACCTGCCCTGTGTAATATTGTTTCTTACCTCATTTATACGTGGTTCCTTCCAGGTGGGTGTTACTGTTATCGTCCTTTTTCAGCTGAGGAGATAAGTAGAGGGGCCTGCCTGCAGTTACATAGCTGAATGGGGCCCAGAACTATATGACTCTCAAACCTGTGGTACATCTTTCATTCCCATAAGTGGGATTTCAAGACATGGAGGCCACTCCAGGTATGGCTCTGGCTTTGCCACCTACAGAGCTCCTAGAACCAGTAAGGCAGACTCCTCGTGATCACCTGGATTTTTCCATAGGCCCTGACCACCCCTCCTATTGCTCTGTCAAGTCTCTGATGAGGCAGGGCCAAGCCATGTTAAGTAGTCTAGCTCCTAGACTTTCACTGTCTCTTGGGCCTGAAAACTT